ACATTCAACAAAATAAGATTAAAGTCACCAGTCAATGGTAGGACCACCAATAAACGGCCACACAGCGCGCGCGGAGACACTCGGCGACGTACAGTGTACACATCTAAGCAATGCCTTGGATTGGACATAATACGAAATGGTTTTGCGATTAAGTCATTTGTGATACGTATATATTTGTGGCACGTTTTGATTATTAATTGTGCCTATTCCTTAGTTACCTAATTGTATATGCTAAAAGTTTATGGAATAAACTGTTGTAAAATGTAATAACGTCTATTTATTTGGAAACTGAATTGAAACATCCATTTAGTGGCATGGAAAATCTTTATTGAAGTAAATATATTTATAAAGTCAGTACAATTTAAGTTCAATAGTTTCCAAAAATATTAAAGTGCAGGTTGCTGATCACCTGGCAATGTTAAATATGATTATTTCTTAATTAAAATACAAGCTAATATTGAGAAAACTGTAATATGTGAATAATAACATGTATATATATACCTAAATAAAATCATGACAAAAATATATTTTAGGCAGGCTCTGAAATACACTGCTCTGAGCTGTTGTTGTCCTGGCCACAGTTCACGATAATAATAATATAATAATAATAAACTTATAATTATTAAGAAGCCGCTAAGGTCACGTGAAAACCTGCACTCCTATAAAACAAGAACAGAGTGCACTAAGACTAATGTCTAAATTCCCAAGTAACTTCAGCGGAGAATGAATTTGGTCAAAGTAAGATGTGCAACTAGTTGAAACAAACAAAACCCTGTCCACCATACACACACGAAACTACTACACTGGTTCGGTACAAGAGACAACACCCAATACGATCAATTCCCCTAAAGTTCCCGTGCCGTGGACAGACGTAACCAGTTGGGCATCTTATCTTATAATAAAATTAAACATCAAATTACAAACCACGCAATGTATATTCATGTATACAATATTACTAAGTGTATGAATGTATATAATGTAAATACATTTTCATGAAAACAAAATAATATCATGGAATATTCAAAGAGCCAAAATATTTGAGATTAACTCTACCTTGATACCATTAACTTCTAAGATCTAGGCACAATGCAGCAGAGACTCCTGTATGGATTACATAACAATTTTCGTTGACTGTGAGGCAAAACAGTATAGTCGTACAGCTAACACCATCACACAAGTTTGCTGAAAACATTATTGCCACTGCCAGTACGGATGAAGAAAAGATATGTTATTAAAATTTTACTGTAAGTGGAGTAATCTGAAGAAGCTTAGAACAGGAAAGTGACATCATTGCGAAGTACAGCTTAGAATAATGGTCGCGCCTCGTGTGCTGATGCTGCTATGCCCCTGTAGCTCTAAGGCTGCCGTGAAGGCAAACAACTACATCTAATAAAACTTTAACTTTACAATGTTCTCAAATCTTCACGGAGGGTATTGTCTATTAGATATAATTTCGTGTCACTGATGTCCACTGTCATACATAACTCTCCACGTGGACTACACCTAATTTTAAAATATTAACAGAACTAAATTGAGCAATATACTCTTAAGAGAATATAGTAGAGATTGCTCGGCTGCACCAACTCTACAGAAAAATTCATGTTAATCCTAGTATCAAATACCAATGCACACTCCACAAATGTCATTTCAATATCGTGAGACTTAAATTAATTACAATCAATAAGGAATAATCAACGAAATCTTTGGATCAAAAATTAAAATATGCACATGGAACATGCACCTTTCACACAAATTATTACAATAAATTTCACATTTATGTTCAATATAAAAATGACAAGAAACTTAATGCGGTGTATCCTAAGAATATACTTACGACTAATTTGAAAACAAAAGAAAATAGCCATGTTACAGTAAATCTAAAAAAACAATGAGAAAATCAGGAGTTGTAGACAATTTACATGTAAACTAAATTGATTCGGTATGATATGTTTTGTTGTTTACTGTATAATTTGTGAGATAAGAAACATCTAAATGGCCGCTTATGTGAAAAGATTATGCTTATAGTTATAGAATTAATAAAAAATAAGATCACTACAATACGTAAATACCAAGAATTGTATATTAAAATATTTGTACTTTTACTGACTAAAGGAAAAAAACATTGGCAACTGCTAATAATCCTACAATTGTAAAAAAAATATCTTGTATAATGTAGATTGAAAACGGTCGTCTCAAATTCGTTCACTCTTAAGATGTGGAATGCAATTAGAATTCTTTAACAATATTAAAAGGTATAATAATATATTAAATTTTTATAATCAGCTCAACAATGTATATAATCTATAATAATTTAAAAGCCTAGATCCAAACTGTGATATTATTGCACAAGCACACATGTGGCTTAAAACTTCCAATGGGAATAGAGCTCACAACCTTATTATTATTATTATTAATGTTGTTTTAATACAGTGGAGACTGAAACGGTGAAATGGGTGAAGAATAGACGTTTTCAATCATTAACATGGCGTCTTTTAAGATGGTAATATAATGCGATACGAGGTGACAGCAAAACTTTTCTTTAACTCCACTTACGGTTAAATATTGCAATTTTAATTAATACGGAATTTAATAAATCTAAATGCCACCATACTCCACCGAAACCAACGAGCTGTGCTTGGTGCCACAACATAGGCAAAACGCCCACCTCCAATAGGGAGGGTAACATTAGAGCTCACCTTGTGCGCTGCGAACCCTACACTATCACCTTACTTGACACCAGGTGGGCATCCCTTGGCAGCCTGTTCTTGCCGCTTTCGGTCTCAATTATTCTTCACACACGCACATAAACGATGCGAAGGAAACACCATATCCAGTGTCACATAAGGCGATACTACAACTACTGAAGTAATTTATTGCTGGATACATAAGGGAATATAGATTCAAGAGAAATATATTTTACCAAAATTGCTTTAAAGTGTATATAGGTAACTTTTAAGATTCTCGAGAAAGGCTACTGTAATGTACTCTAATGATACAATTATTATCGAGTAATGTCAATGGACAATAGATACCATTTGACCTGCCATTATCCCATGACAAAGTGCTTACTTGCTACAGCAAGAATATACAGCCAAGCAGACGCGGCGAATAGCCGCCGGCCCGCACCAACCGCTAATAAACATCTCTAAACAACACCACCGTATAGGCAAACTTGTGATACTGTTGTGTATATTCAAATTGAAAATACTAAATCTACAAAAATGTCTACCGAACCCTACATAAGATACATGGCAAGAACAAAGGAAACATTGTCAACGAGGTATCACGAAAACAAATGCGAGAGGTATAAATGATACAATATAATACTTTCAATAATAGGACTGAATAATATTATAATTTTACACATATATACGATATTATTCAACTTCGAATTTAATAATATTGGAATTCACACACAAAATAGTATAATTTGTAAAATTATCCAAAACTTATCACACCACTTTTTTAATAATTTTTATGCAACCCTAAAGCGATATTATTAATAGCGTCAAACGCTCCCTTTGGGGCATTAATAAGTTCTATTTCGGTTAATTTTACTTGACTAACACACAATAATTTTGATCATTGACAAATCAAAAATTGAACATTATAATATTTTTAAACCCTGAATATTAATAAAACAAAAAAAAATTGGCAACAATAATTATTAGTAACTAATTTTTTACAAATATCATACAATAAAATAATTACTATGTGCATGCACAAATATCGTAAGAAAATAATTTGGCAGTAAAAATTCGTAACTCTAAAGGCCTAAACACACTGGCCAAAAATACTATTTAAATATAGGCCCAGAACAAATAATAAAAATTAAACAAAACAGTAAAATGACAAAATCAAGAGTATTAATCACCTACTCATTCGTGAGGGGTATTTTAAACCTAGTTAAAATAAAGAAAATAAAATTCCCTAATACTATCGGGACAAAAATCCTGAAACAAATAACTTAAAAACAATATGAAAAATAAACCAAAAAGTTACTCACTAATTAATAGAGGATTCAGACTCAACGTCAAGTTCAACTTATCACTGGCTTTTACAATTCGCGCTCCTTGTTCCGTTCGCCCCTCGGTTCGGCCGCGCCCGCAACCGCGCACCCCTCGCTTGCAACCCACGACCCGTAGACGTGTCTTTCAAAGTATTGAGTCATGTAAGTCTTAAATGTTGGTTCATTATGTCTCTCTATTATTGCTCATATCACATTAAATGTTGCGAGTGTATTGGAATTTGTAGACTTACCCCAATACACGACAAAATAAATATAATATTACTAATTAAGTACAAATACTTCCGTAGCTTGTGAACTGTATGATAAGAATATTGGATGATAATAATATGGCTCAGCCACACAATACTGAATACATTGCCACGAATTAACTTTCTACACGTTATTTGTATTTAATTCATACTGTTTATGCAATTTTAGGAATCGTAAAATTAGAGAGCAAGTACTTTATTTTCTAATTAATATATGAACGACGACGACGAAAGAAAGAATATGTTAAAAATATCACATTAATTTCTAGGTGGTCTGGTTAAGTACTATTTCCGTATTGAATAAAGTGGTATAATCCGTTCACACAGTACAATGTGTTATTTGTACGGTATAGTAAAAAGCAAAACCATTGGCTGAAATTTACACATTAATCTACATTATTGCTACTATTAGCGAAAATAACAAAACTAGGAATCCATGTTTCCCATGCGGATAAATTTTGCCAAAAAGCCTAATCACAGTTGGAAGACTATTTATAATTCATGAATTTGCTTGTATTCTGATACAGTGAAAAATGTATCTGAACATTAGCTATGAATTTACAATAATATAGATAGACTTATTACCATATTATTATCAAGGTGCTGAATATTATGTGTCCCACTTATAAATACGCATTAAGTGACCTATAGGGACATCAATAAGTGAAATTCTAAATATGATATCGCATTTTATATACCGTATATATATATATGTATATATATTTTTTCGTATCTAATGTCTAGAAAACTATGAATCTCAATTTTGAATATTAAAATGTGGATAGTTACAAAAATATATATTTTTGGCGAACTGTATACGAATGTCAAACATATCGTGTGTAGAAATAAAACGTTTATAATGGCAAATTCATGTATAGTACATAAATAGTTAAGTGCCTTTGCGATCGCGGATTCCCAAATGGTTGAATACTATAACAATTCGCACACAACCAAGGGTTTATACCTTGCCAAAGGAACGTTTTTTAACAATAAATGCGTGTGTCGCAACAGAAACTAGCAACACTAATATGGCTTTGTAAAGTGGATGTCCCACAAACCTTAAAACATCACGAACTAATAATTCCTTTCCATTGGTCTCTAGGCCTTTTGTACTTCGAAAATTTTGAACTTTTGCCTGAATATACATGAAGATGCCACATAAACCGCTTAACTATCCATCATTAACATACCTTGTACAAAATTATTGCAAAGTTACAGTGGGTTCCCAATTATATAGGATTGTGATGGTTCATTATTATTTGGGCATAAATTTTAAATGAACCATTTTATAATAGCCTAAACGTGAAATATACTTCAAATATGTAATAGGCTCTCAAAACAAGAGTACATGAAAAACATTTTGTATAGACACAAGAATTCTGTAAATGGTAAATATATTTTAACGGACAATATATAATATTGTATACGATATTAACCTAAACTAGATGGCACGTTATTTTAGTGTCGCCTCCTTTGGTCAACAGCACTAATTTTTAACAAACTCAATTGTGCGTTCATTTGTTCACTACCAAGCGCATGACTGATATCTCAAGATGATGTCATTAAAAGTATGTATATCAACAAACAAGAATTTTAGAGAAAATTACGATTCGAATTGTGAGGCGACACTCCCACGCAGTCCTCTAATTGACATGTATTATAACTTCACTCGAACTAGGAACCATACCAGCTGCTAAATTTAGAAACAAAATACTAGTCCAGTCAATGGGATTTTTTGGTTTAAATTGGTTACAAGTTTCTTATCTTAACCCGGTTCGAGAATAAACATTAAGACGTTTTATACTTATTTTAGGATGACACACTAAGGCTTAAATATCAATATACGTATTGAAACTCTATAACCAAATACACCTAAAAACTATAGTCTCTATTGACTGGGCTACAATAAAAATAAAGAAGTTCAATATTATAACACTAAACTTTGGATTTTGCGTTACTATAACTAAATGCAACCGTGTAAAATGAGAGATGAACAAACCCAAAAAATATACAAGTATCAGTACTTTGGAAACAATGACTCATAAGATCTACCCACAAGCAGTGGCTTAACATCGTGTCCTACGGAAGCTGCGCCCGCTAGCGATCGACACAAGCCGCGAACCGAATCACCACTGCCCGTGAATAAAGTACAATATTAAAAATCAGACTAAAGTGAAATTCAACACAAAATAACGAAAAATGTAGTCAAATACTGGTTTAGCAAAAATGTTAAGCTTTGTAAAAAACAGCAATTAAAATATAAAATATAGGGAATAAATGTGAGATCTCGTAGTATGCAGACTTACAGCCATCGAGTTACTCCTCAAACAATGTAAAGGGTGTTGAGGACTAGAACATGGTGATTATTCTTAGCCAGAGTGACAATGTAGCCTTCAGAAGTTATCTTCAATCCACAGCAGCGAGATACCTGCAAATTAATAGCATTAATTTTAGAATAACCACCAGTAATCGATTCAGGTCACGTTCCGAGTGCTACGTTTGTAGACAGCCAAGAACAAGATAAGAGTATCAACAATAAGCAAAACAATGAACAATCTCTACCTTAAGTGTAGTGTCAAATAGTCTTTAGTTCAGACTAGTATAACAATAAAAACATACTAAGTTTGTATTTGTGCCACTATTAACTATGTATTTGCCAGGTTTCTACTTTCGCAGAAAATCGAATCACGCCATCTATCGCAGACGAACACTACCGTGTCAAACCAATGACAAAAACTGTAATATCGAAAACAGCATATTGAGAAAATGCTACAAAAGGAATTTACCTTTTCAGCTATAATTTTTCAAATTAACAACATAACACAATATTTAAAACTTATGTTGCACATTAGTTTTCGTTTTATAATACCAAATGACAGGATGAACAAGTCGTATCTGGTGGTAAGCGACACGCCTGTCCATAATGTTGCAGTGCCACTCAGAGCTTTAAAACGCAAAGATCGGAGGGGTACTGCCACTGCGCCTATCACCCACACATAAGTTGATAAGTCTCACGAGCTTTCACTTCACCAGCACCCACACCCTTTAAAAGCGGAACGCAGTAATGCTCACATTCCTGCTTGGCGGCAGAAATAGGTAAGGTAGCAGTACTTACCTGGACGAACTCTCAAAGAATTCTATCTGCCCATTATAATTGACTTTGAAAATAAGCTGTCTATTGAAAAACTAATAAATTTGTTTAGCCTTGACAACAGACGAAAGATTTTTGTTATAAAATTATAAAACACTGTATTGGGGGTTTGTAGTATTTTGGTTTAACGCGATAGCATTGTAAATTCGTGTATACAATGATACAAATTTCAATTTAGACTGTAGCAATAAAAAAACAATGGCTACCTTGACATAGGGACACTCGAACTCAGTGACTAGGACACCATCGCGCGAGAATACAGCAACATGGAACTTGTTGCCATGCGAATCGCCAATAAGCACGTCGCCGGCGTCGGAGACGTCGATGCCGTTAGGGAAGTTGGTCACATTCTCGCACCCAATGCGACGCAGGAAGCGGCCCTCGTCATCGAAAACGACGACGCAGTGCCCCTTGAAATCGCACACGTAAAACTCCTTGCCTGAAAATATTAAAATTGGTTATAGTCATACCAAGGTAATTCATATATAAGAATTCGACATAGATAATGTGAAGTCTGTTAATATTACAGGGTTCGAAGTTGATAATTTTTTTGAAAATATTTTTTTTTAATTTTTTTTTATAATATTAAGTGACGGGACGAACAAGTCGTGCGCCTGATGGTAAGCTCCCTGTCCATAACAGTTGCATTGCCACGCAGAGCTTTAAATCGCAAAAGATCTTAGGGGCACTGCCACTTCGCCCGTCACCCAAAATAAAAGCTGACAAGTCCCAAGTGCCAGTAATTTCACCAGCACCCTTACCCTTCAAAACCGGAACACAGTAATGCTCAGATTACTGCTTGGCGGCAGAAATAGGTAAGGTGGCAGTAATACCCGGGATGAACTCTTTCAGAAGGAGCTCTACTGCTATTAAATTGATTAATAATTGAAATAACCAAATGCTACCGCTAGCAATGTCGTTCCATGTGTTTGTGTCAGAGACGTACACAAACGTGTCAATGTCAATCTGAAAAAACACAAAAGTCACAAACCAAATCGTTTTCCCAACGACTTTGCTTCGTGTTTAGTTTTCTCGCTGTTTGTCATTTTTAGTCAAAAATAAAGAAACAAGATTGAAAATTAATTAATTATTAATTAATAGGATATGTATCGAATAATTATCAAAGGAAATAAATATCTTTTCTTAAACATGCTCGGAAATGTTTGTAATGTAAGAAACGAACACGGGAAGTTAGTCATTTAAGGATCATGAGACGTCTTCCCGGCCAAGGCCTGCAAAGTAAGTATGAAAATCCATTACTGCATGTAAACAGGCAAAGGAATAACTCATACAGCCAATTGCCTAGTATTAGTAATTGCAAGAATTAAAAATACCTACTTATATCGCTAACTTAAAATGCTAATTCGTTTTCGGAGACTGTGTTTGTATTGATATGTCAAATATTACTTTTACTATTATTATTTTTTTACTTTATCTTCCTCTCTTTAGTCTTTTGTTAATTCCTCGCATTGTTTGAGAAAAGCACTATACACGCCTCGGCCGGAACGGGGATTGCTTGACTCGTATTAATACAAGGCCTGCAATCCTTTACTTCGTGGCCTGTGCAGTAATGTACTATAATATTAACACAGCAATTAATTTCTTTTGGTACAGCACAAATTAAAGGCAAAAGTTCTCAACTTACCACTGATAGCAATATCAGATGGTTCCCTCATGCACTCACTGCAATCAAACCAACTCATGAGGTCACCCTCCTCGGATAATATAAATACAGTTGGAGTAACACTGTCTACAGCAACGATTAGGCCTTCGGCGGTGACGGCGAGTCCCGCAACGATGTCGATGAAGCGCACCTTTAACAATTTGAAGTTATTACATAAAAAAATTTAATAAGTATATGTTTTACCAAACCAAGGTACACTTACAGCTATTTTCTTTAGGAAGTGTCCATTCTTAGTAAAAATCTGCATGCGCGAGCGTTCATTTCCGCGATCGCAAACCACAAACTTTCCAGTGGCACGAACCACGGCCACTTTGCGCGGGTACCACAGCTGGCCTTCTTCTTTACCAGCTACACCAAAGTTGAATTTATGGTTGCCAGATTTGTCAAACACCTGTAAAGTATCTTCTTTGAAATCCATTTTCTAAATTATAATCGAATACAAAACGCAGCAATTCCTCAAAATTTCACTTACCGTGATGCGATGGTTGTTCGTATCAGCCACAATGATATCCTCATCGTTACCAAGACAGAATCCGTGAGGAGAGTTAAATTGACCTTTGCCTCCACCAAGTTGGCCAAACTTGAACCTGATGTGCATAGGTGTAGCCTTAGTCGCGCGGACAAGCGGCGCAGGAGGCGCGACGAGAGCTGCCTCCTCTACAGACGTCAGCAGTGGTCTACCTGGCGACACTCCACGTGCGCCCACGGCACTGATACCGCTTACGCCTCCTACTCCACCGTACCCGTTTACCTCTGCAATTATGATAGCGCACAGTTACTTCATATTTAAAAGCACTAGTCTGTATATAACCATTTCAATAATTTACCTGTGTTCAATCCTAACTTAGCGAGCGCCTGCAAATTATTGTACGCCTGCGGTGAATTCAGGTCTCCAGCTAGCAATTCTGCAAGGGTGAATGAAGGCGCAGGAGATGCGTGAGGTGGCGGCGGAACTTCTTTTTCAGCGATGCTGGCAAGCTGCTGCAGATTGTATTCAACCATAGATGGTAAGGCGGGAACGCCGGTTACAGCGCCTACACCTGCTACGCTGTTAACATTCACAACTCCAGGAATAACGCTTGTATTAGTAACTGCTCCTACTCCAGACACAGCTCCTACGCCGGGAACTCCAATGGCTGACACTCCTACACCAACCATGTTGGCGACTCCCGTCACTCGGCGCACATTTGCCAATGGATAGTCATCGAAAACTGGAGCATTTGTTACAGATACAGCGGGTGAGTGCGAGTTAGACGCCACAGACACGATCGCCGAAGATTCGCTAGCACGTTTCCTTTCTTCCGCCCGAGTAGCTTCAGTACGGAACGTTCCAAAGGTGTCTTCAATAACGGAATCAAACTTATCCATCTTAGTAACAAATTCCAGCGAATAGTCAACATCAAATTCGGGCGCTCCTTCGAGCAAACGCGCCAGCTGCGAGGCGACGGTTTTCTTTAACATGACAATTTCAGTACCATCACCACGACGAAGAAGTCTTGCTGTAAACTTGCAGGCACAGTCAATGCGTTGAACAGTTTTATCAACACGATCGAATAAATCCATTACTTTCAATTCTCGTTCTTTGTGCAGACGCTCAAGTTCTTCGAGAGCTTTCTCGCGGCGTCTCTCGAGTGCAGCCTTATAAGCGCGAAAAGCTTCATTTATGACGTTTTCAGCTTCATCGCGTTGACGCTGCAAGTCTCCAAGCGCATCATCCAAGCGTGCAGAGGCGCTGCCAGCAGCAGCTGCACGGGCATTAGCTTCGACTATGAAGTTGCGTAATTCCGCTCGCAAGTTGGGTTCAGCATCAACAATGCGCTCACAGCGGTGTTCACCCACCTTATGGTCCACAGTGAGACATTCAGTGCAAGCACCAACTTCGCACTCGCAGCAGTAGAATTTCAGGCTTTCGCCGACATGACGTGTGCAAAAAATTGGCTTATGCACAGCAGCCTTCTCCTTAGAGGATCTCAGAGCATCAAAGGGGACCACACGGTGATTCTCAAAGCACCTCATGAATTCATGGGCAGAATTGCAGTTGGAACACAGAAAATGCGAACAATCGGTACACCTGGCCACAGCAGGCTCCTTGCTCTTACAGCAAGTGCACACGACAGATTGGTCCATAGAGGACACATCCAAGATGTTGGTAAGCAAATAATCGGAGGGAAGTGATGCTGCGCCTCCTCCGGGAATCTGAAAATGATCTATAAATTAAAATCAAAGTATCATATTTGTACTTACTAACCCTTTGCTGAGCACTTAAACACATAGGTCACCTTGGTTTCCTGCTTGCATATTGGGCACTCCACGGCCAAATCAAATTTCAAAGAATCACCAGCTTCATTAACCATCAACTTGTCAATGCAAGCTTCACAGAATACATGAAGGCAAGACAATACTCTCGGACTGCACAGTTTGTCGCTACAACAAAATAATAACAATTTTAACTTATTAATTTTAATTTTAATAAAAAGAAAAATCATGTAAAATAATTATTCGTGTAATAGTTCCTATAGCTTACTCGCAAATTTTGCAACTTTGCTCTTGTTTCCCATTGTCGTTGGATTCCAAAGAACCTTCATCCAGACTAACAAGCCCATCCCCATAAAGCTCCCCATTAATTTCTTCCATTTTAGCTTATAATTATGTTGTTGTATAATGTATAATCCTTGACCTTACTCTGCAAGAATCTGCAACAATAAAATGATTATTTCACCTTGACCATTTGTTTTTACTTTATACTTCATGCAATAAAAAAAATTAAATAAACGCTGTAGGACCTAATAGTATCTAAGAACCTATAGTATCCCTCCCCTAACAATGGTCAAGAGCAACTATATACAAAGGTACATGAACGTCGAGTTGCGGACAACAGCTCGTAACGCCATACCATACCAAGGGTGAACAGCCTAACATATCCACTATCAGTTTACTGAATTCCAGTAGCATATATTAAGTATAGTAAGTAATCAAAGTGCATAGGTTCTATATGAAAGATTCATCATTTTGTTTAGTTACTATAAGAGTAAATGAAATTTATTTATTATAATGAAATTTATTTATTATTATTATCAAAATAATAAAAACTTCTACGAGTAATAACATTTATTTTCACTCGTAAACTCGATTAATTCTTAATCTACGAAACACTATAGTACAATTTTAGGATGTCCACCACATATTAAAATAGCTCGTGGACATGGTAGGTTTAAAGTCTGTTTCACAGTTTGCCCTCGAACTAGGATTAAATCGTTATACCTTTTTTTCTCATTAAAAGAATATGTGTAAATGAAAATCATATACATGAGACACGCACACGTAACAGGCAGATAGTGTCCATTTGTCGCCAGTGGGAACAAAGTCGGTGGTGACGACTGGGAGGAATAAGCGATTGTGATCACCACTAATTAATTACCCTTTTTCTCAATCACCACTGGTTTTGTTCCCATTGACGACAAACTGGGAAAAAAATCCCATATGTTACCAGGTGGTGACAAATGGAATAAAAAGATCTCAGTTGTTGCCAGTGGCGATTTCCACTGGCTACAAATGGGAAAATACCCATATATTGCCAGGTGACAAATGGGATAAAAAAATCTCAAATGTTGCCAGTGGTGACAAATGGAAATTAAAAAATCCCAGTTGTTGCCAGTAACAAATTCTTTCACAGTAAGTGCAGCTCCTATGTGGAATAAACTGCCTGCTGACAGTCCATCGGCGGCTTCTTTCAAACACAAATTAAAAGAGCACTTCCTGTCAACGCATTAGATAGTTAATCAGTAAGAATATATTAACAAGTAATTTATTTAGATTATATATATTGCGTATGTATATATAAAGTTCACGTAGGTGTGTATGTCTGTCATTACATACATGCATATGTATAACAACATTTATATTAAATTTTTATTGAATTGATATTCAATTATTTTTTGTGAAATCACTCCACTAGTTTGTTATATTTATTAATACAAAGATCGAACACTCAGAAAAAATTCCTTTGATCCAATTTTTTCTGAGTGTTCGATCTTTGTATTAATAATATAACAAAACATTTATATTTTTATACACATTTAATTTTTAAATTTATTCTACAATAATTAGTCCCGCAGACTTCATTTTTAGACCACGGCTAGGGTTGGTTGGAAGAGATCTCTTCTAAAGATAAGTTTACACTTGTATGTGTACTTTGTAACATGTGTTTTGTCTTTTCTTCGTGCAATAAAGAATTATTAACATGGGACTTTTTTTCCCATTTGTCGCCAATGGGCACAAAGTCAGTGGTGACGATTGGGAATAAGGGACTAATTACAGTTCAGAGCTAAGGCTGACAGTACAGAAGGCCGTTCCTGGCCCGGCAGATTTATGTCCGCTGGTTGTAGCATGTGCTTTCCCAGTATGGAGCTTCGTACGCCCATAAATTAGTGCCATTACGCATTGACTTACAAATAAATGGATGACCGGTCTAATACAAAAACCACGAAAAAAATGTCCCAAGTCAACCTATTTAAACGTAGTGACATGTAAAGGAATATGAAAAAGCTAAAACGTTGAATTTAAATTGTAATGTCATCGCTGTACTGCCTAATTTTGCTTGCTTCGCTGTCAGTCGAACAAACGAAGACTAAAGCGTGAACGACGCTCTGTATACGATTTTAACGCCCTATAAGTTCGGACACTTTTTAGCGCGGACCCGACGTCCATATAATTGTAAGTCAATGCCATTACGTGAAAAGATGAACAGGAGTTTCATCCGCCTCGTGGCAGAAGTTTCATCTACACTCTCTATTCTCTCTCTGTCGAATATTTGAAATATACTAGTTCCAGCCACAATGTCATGTTAAGACTCTAGTGAGCATTCTGATGCCTTTCCTGTCCAATGACAGCTTCTCTACATTGTTGGCACTTTGAATGCTCTTGAATGCTCGTGTATGACCATTATCAGCACACTGCAATTTCAGTAGCCTATATTACGTATAGTACACAATAAACACTAATAGTACAAAAAACAAGGTAACAATTTAAACTTCTGACACCATTTAATTTCTAACCTACAATTAGTCAGCAAAGCTACTTTTACATAGGAAAAAGTAAAAGTGATTTATTATAATATTAATAATACTATAATAACAATAACTTACAAAAGCAGCTTAATACATAGGGCGCACTATAAGTTTCCGGAACTGGCCACTTACATAAACAATATTTAAAAAGTAATTACAACATTTGAAAATGGAACACTTTGGCTGTAGAATACAGTATGTTTCATCTGACTGTCACTAGTTTTTACATTGTGACGTCATTTTAGAAATTGGTTGTCTACATCACGATGGATTTCACTCGTGAAAATTTTCGTAGTATGATTTTCTACGACTTTGAGAGTCGTATGTGAACACTGAAAATCATACTCAAGTCCTTGCCATTAGGGTCGTATTTCCAGTGCTTGAAATCATACTCAAGTCTGCTCAAATCCTGACTTGAAGTAGAGTTCTGGAATACGACCCTTAGTGTAATTTAACAGCTCAGCGGAGCTTCGCTCGGCTTCAAACTGCTTTTGGCGATGAAGCACCATGCAAGACGACTATTTATAGCTGGTTTGCAGAATTCAAACGCGGTCGTGTGAATCTCTGACGAATTTCGTGATGGTCGCCCGTCCACTGTTGTGAACAACAAAAACATCGATGCTGTGCGCCGTATGATTAAAACAGACAGGCATGTGACATGTGATTCGGGCATCTTTAGGCATAGGCATGAGTCAAATACAATCAATACTACACAAACATTTGGGTGTGAAAAACCTGTGCTTTCGGTGGATCCCACACAATTTGACTGAGGCTCAAAAAACGGATCGCGTCATTTGGTGCAATGGCATGCTTACCAGATTCAACGAAGGGGCGTCAAATTGGTGTGGGACATAGTAACAGGTGACGAAACATGGATTTATAGTTACGATCCCAAAACAAAGCAGCAATCGAGAGTATGAGTCTTTCGAGATGAGCCGACGCCAACCAAAGTGGCGCGCGTGCAAAGTGCCTCTAAGCGGATGATTGCTTCTTTTTTTTAATAAAACTGGACACGTGGCTGCTGTTGCTTGAAGAATCGTTGTACCGTGAATAGTGATAGGTACACGACCATTTGTTTGCCGGAAGTTATTGACAAACTCCGTAAAAATAACCGTAAAACGCCGTATCATCTTGCACCACGATAATGCCAGTTCTTACACGGCCACACAGACCAATGAAGTTTTGAAGGTGAACAACGTTGACCTTATGAGCCATCCCGCGTACAGTCCTTACCTGGCACCTTGTGACTTTTATTTATTTCCAAAAATTAAGAACCAGTTACGCGGTCTACGATTTTCATCCCCTGAAGAGGCTGTCGAAGAGTATGAAAAATATGTTTCAGAGACTGTCACGGAGGAGTGGCATAAATGTTTTCAAAATTGGTTCATTCGTATGAAAAAGTGCATTAACGCTAATGGAGAATATTTTGGGAAACAATTCATTTCTGACCATTTATAGTATTTTTCTTATTCATTCCGGAAACTTAGTGCGCCCCACGTCTATGAAAGACGTGACAGGACGAACAAGTCGTGCATCTGATGGTAAGCTACATGCCTGTCTATAACAGTTACAGTGCCACTCAGAGCGTTAAATTGCAAAGATCTGAGGGGCACCACTGTGCCCGTCACGCTGAGACATAGGTTGACAAGTAAGTGCCTGTAATTTCACCACCCTCTTACATGAATGGTTGCCTAAGGCCAATTTGTGAAACCAGTGTTACATTTTTATTGAATATTATGATGTTTTTACTACAATGACATTCATCTATTTCTTGTGAAAGTACTCCATTGCTTTATTATTATCATTGATATGAAGGTTGAACAAAACGGAAAGAAACTTTTTTTTTATACAAAGGGGCTAACCAGCATCCACGCGTCAATGTGGATACAACTCTGCCAACTAAGCTATGAATCGTTATAAATAAGGTATTTAAACATAACTTTTATTACTATAGTTTACAGTTTGTATTAAACATTAAACCTAACAGGTTGATGAATTTGATGATGATTTCTAATCAGAGCCATAGGACCAGGCCCTGTCTATACTCTTGTTCTTCGTCCAACACCCGTCCAAAAAAATTACTGTCAAATAAGTAATACTTGACCAAATTAAAGACACATGATGCATGTCGTGTCCAGCCTCCATGGATGACCAGACTGACAGGCCACAAAGGCAGACTTAGTAGACTGACTGAAATTCAAAATTAGACCGACTTTCTTTTGGACAAGAGACGATGATCAACCTGCCTTTCTTCTTTGACAAAGACCAACGAGAGCAGTCCTGATAAAACCTTCGACGCAAGCAGACGACTTCTCTTGACTGAATTGTACAGACAGACCGTACAATGCAAATGAAGCTTCATACTTAAGTTTGTCCTTTCATTTGGCCCAGTGTTACATATTTCCCAATAATTGTTATGGCCATGTGTCAGACAGATAACTAGAGTAGACCCCCTGTAAAGAACCTGTTGGTTTGATTGTAAAAACAAATATGTGCTATTTACATCAAAAAAGTTTAATTCCCACTGTTATACAGACACTAACCCCTCATTTACGCAGAAGATAAACTCAATTAAACTCATTTTTGATAACATGAGTCCTAATCACTCACTCCACTGCAATTTCAGTAGGCCATGTTATGCCATAGTGTTTGAATTCACTCTTTTTGTGGAGGCAAGCTGGTATTGATACAACAAGAAAATGGCACCAAAGTAAAATTATGCAACATTTATTCTGCCATTTTTGAATGTAAGTAATGGTGCACATGCAGGAAAATTGACAATGTTACATACAAACAAAAAATTTGTACTTAGTACAAAAAATCACTTTATTTATAACCTACAATTAGTTACAAAGTTACATTTGCATTAGAAGAAATACAATTAAACTTATTTATTATTGCCACACCTATATCAACAACTTGTGAAGTAAAATATTTATTAATATAATTATTTAAGTACTATTGTTGCTACAATAAAGAATAAATATTATTACTTCACACATACTTTGGATCGCAGTGTTACGCAGCGTTAAGGTCTGAGATGAAAATAAACCACAATTATCACATAAGTTCTAAGGTTCACCTAGTTTAAAAGACAGGGATGTCAATTTGTAGCTACCCTGACAATTTACCAATAATTCTCCTTTCTTTCAATTAAAATTATTGTATTTTAAAATCTGTAGTTTTTGGAAATAAAAGATTATTATTATTATATAATGCAAACGGATCTGATCAGGTGCTGCAGAAGAAATCTGTCATAATGTATGTACTTAAAGCTCTTTGTAATTTATTTTATTTATTTCATAGTTGCCTATTTCCATTATCTATGTAAGAAGGGAACTAATGATACTTCTTAGTGATAATAATCCAAGCAACATTAAATGCTTTGGCTAAATGGAGTTAAGTACCTACATTACTAATTGACAAATAAATAATTTGTTTAAAATAAAATATTCCACATTTTTGTACATAACCAGTTTTGTTTCATTGTGCTCAGATAAATGTAAAAAATCTAATTAAATTAGATTAAATTAACAAGTACATGCCTACATAACCCACCTTTAACATGTAGGAAACTGAAAAGACCTCAACCACTAAAACACCTACTAGAACTGCAGTCATGGAGGCACACCTGCATCAATAATTGCTTCTCTACTTACCACATTTCTAATAATCAGGAGCCAAAACACTTGATATAACGATACGTATGTATTTATTTCTCGAGTAGGTAGGTATTACCCACCCTGACGGTGACAACCGAATTTTTTCAACCCTAGGAACAACACTTCAGCAATAAAACGAACGAGAAAAAGTGCATTGACAAAATATTAATAATATAAAAATGCCTTCGTGCACGTTGTATTATGTATACCTACTTCACAAACGCAATGCACCATGCAGACAATGGCGAAGGTCGATAGTCCATTTTCAAATAGAGCAATGCGGCAGTAATATTCAGAGTTGGCGAGAATTTTACTATTTTCAGAATATTAAAGGGAGTAACAAATGATTTACTTACTTTTAACAGTAATAATTTGCAGAAAAAGCAGTTAATCAACGCGCACAATGTTCTACCACGCCGTAACTATGAGAATATTCATCACTATGTAAATAAATAAAAAATGAGCATCAAACCTCACCAGTTCTTTTTAAATAAAAATGGTTTTTTCGATGAATTTAATGTTTTGTCACGTTCTCATTTTAAAAAGACGAATACAATCGCGTTTATTGATTTTTCTTCGTCGGTTAGTTGCGCGCTGCGCCAGCTAGTGATGTGAAAGAAATTAAAACGAAAGAAATTGAAAGTGAAAATTTAAATCGATTCAATACACAAAAAAAAACACTATTTTTAGTTAATCGACTCTTGAGTACCATTCCCGTTTTATCGTCGTTTGCGAAGTTGAGAATTAAATTAAGAATTCTGCCTAAAGCTCGTGCAGCCCTAAATCCTGTCAAGCCTTACCGTCGATCAACGCACATAAGACTGCGAGTAACGAACGGCTACTAATTTAATGCAGCCTGTAAACGTCCAGTCACAATGATATCAAATCTTTGCGAATAAGCTTTCAAAAACATTTATTTTTAATAATGTTGCCACACTGTATGTGTTTTCTGGTAGCTAAATAGCGCATTAAAGTAAATTTAGCTAGTGTCCCTGTGGTAAATGGAATTTAGATAGTTTTACAAACCTAGCTAATATATTAATAACTAATAAAAAGCTGAGGCGACATTTATATTTGTTACAATACAAATTGTCAGAAGAATAAAATAAATTCTTGTTGATATTAATTCTGCGTATTGAGTTGTCGAGAGCCCTGTGACACTATTTAACGATACGTAGCTATGCAAATCCTCACACACAACACTATCCAAACTTTTGAGGGGTTGCCGCACTGACATAAATATATGTCTATGGATTGACGTAATTGCTTGAGAGTATCCTAAATCCGTACATAATATTATGGTATATAAATAATCTTATCATAAATACTTGCCATCGAACTCTAAAAATATGCGTCGCTTCGCTTATTGTTAGTAAGGATCCGATGCACAGGTTCGATATGTAGCAATGTATCCTATAATCGATTTTTATAACTTGAATTGGCCACTTATTATCTTTGCCAACACTAAGTAATACTATTAGGGTCGTATTCCAGAACTCTACTCAATGTAAAGTCAGGACTTGAGTATGATTTAAAACGAAATCATACTCAAGTCCTTGCCATTAAGGTCGTATTTCCTTATTAGAGTACGACCTTGCTCTTAATAGCTTACTTGAGGTTATCTATGCTTACTTGTAATAGTTTAAAATGAGGATTTTGATTAAAGTTTAAATAAGTAAAAATTCTAGGCAAATAACAAATATCATCAGAAACAGAAACGTTTAGTCTTTTAGAGGAAGGAAGAAAAAGAAGTTCAATACATTAGTTAAAAAAAAGAATCACGTTACATTGATTTATTTGTATTCAACAGAACACAGCAATTTTTAATATTTTTCTGCAAGAAAATAGCTTTGTGATATTTTACCACAAAACAATGACATTAAACTGCTGCTAAATACGCGAATGTAATTAAGAGCTAAAATAAATCATACATAACATAACTGCTACTCTTTCACAGTTGGGTCAACTCTATTGGTCTGCTTAACGACGCAACGTTTGCATTACTAGCGATGGGACGAGCTGTATTTTTTTCATTCGAGTTACTCGAGTTGACTCGACTCGGTGTGTGGCAAAGGAACGAACGAACGCAATGTTTTTAAATACAATAGTCGCACTATTGTATTTAAAAACATTGCGTTTCGAGCTACAGTTTTGCTCATGTCTAGAGTAAAATTACAGTTCATTGAGCAAAAGTGTTGCTTGCAAGCAGCTAGTGATTGCAGTCGTTAAATATTATATCAACTGAATGTTGGTTACTAAACTTAAACTTGTTTCATTTGAATCATCATCGGCTAATCATTTGTCCAATTGCTGGGCACAGGTTCATTTGTAATGCTAATTTATGAAAATTCCTACATATGTATACATATTATTATTAATGCTGAATTTATTATAATAAATTCAGCAGTATGTGTATAAAAATACAAATAGGAGACATATTTTAAAGTTTTTAATTTGAATTTAATATAATGTAATCAAATCCGTCTGTCGTTACGAAAATGTGTACGACTAAAAATTGATTTTGATGTTAATAGACCAACTGTCCAAATAAGAATAAAGAATGCCTACAATAACGCAATTAATAATCATTAAATGTCGTAACATTGACAATTCAGGCATTTTAGGCAAAATTTTAAATTTTTTCACAATCTATTGATAAAATTAACGACAACACATACTACCTTAAAATTTTGCGAAATCTGGCAACTGGTAGTATAATATGTGTGCACGCCGCGCGTCGTGTACGGACGAAAACATTCACATCAAATATTAGACGTGTTTATTGTCGTGTTTGATAATATTTTATCAAACACGACGATATTATCGTAGCCATGTTTACATACAGTATCTATATTTAATTGCGATAAATATATCGATATTCCAATATATCGATTTTTACTAAAGAATCCCAAATTTTATCTATTATATAAGTATGCCTTTACAAAACTATCGATTTTTGATATTTCGAGCTTAAAAATATCGACTGTACATCGATTATTTCATGGAAAAGGATATTTTGATATATCGATATTTTCGACAACCCTAATAATAGCGAAGTTGTCAAAGAAGAAAGTAACGTGTCATGTCTGTGCCTGTCTTGTTGTTTCGTGCCTGTCTTGTTGTTCGTGTTTGTCTTGTTCTCGGAACAGTTTATGTTAAATTGGAGATATAAATGAAATATTTTGAGTGAATAGAGATAAATTAATTATAATAAACACCATGACCTTTATACCTAATTGGGAAGAATTTGAAAAGTCTGCAGAAATGTTATATTTACGTGATCCAATGAATACTAGATACAGTGTGAAATACTCACATTCAAAAGGCATATTTTTAGTTAAAATTACAGATAATAAGAAGGCAAGTATAATAAATTAACTTACATATTTTTAATCATAGCTATTTCTTGAATTGTTAAGTTTCTTTTAAATATCACTTCTCGGTAAACGTTGCTACAGGTTTTGCGATAACTCTTATAGTTTTGTTCTTTTTGTATGTCACAGCCTTTTTAACGCGTTCCTTTATGTACATTATCATTAAATTTAGTTTGACGACACACTTTGATCACCCAGAATGAAATGAAAAAAAAAAATTAAAATGCATGGTGTCCGTAATAACAATTACACCTACCTACATTGTGGGGTAATGGAAGTTAGTTGTACTTGTATATGTCTTATGAAGTGCAAGATATCCTTGTAAAATTTAATAAAAGACGATTCTTTCTGTCTCTTGGTATGATAAATAAAATTTATTGCACCAGTGAATTTCAAAAGCTTAAGTATCGCCATTTTTTTTACTTCCAAAGTACTGTTGCAGTAGTTTAAAATGAAATTAGATACCTAACATAAGAGCATAACAACTCATCTGAAGAACAGAGTCTGATGTAATTATATAGTGAAAAGGGAATAAGTACATTAAGAGACTAATTTCGTTAATTAAACTAAGGCCTATGTAAAGGTGTTTTAAGAATTTATATATCTTATTTTGTTTTGGAAATATAAAATTGAACAATGGTCGATCTGACATACACAGTGAAGAAGAGTGAACGAAATGTACTGTGAACAAGTAGTCTTGCACATAGATCTTTGTTCTACGGATGAGTGGATAAGATCTTTACCAGCCTCCGTGGCCGAACAATTACCATGCCACGCAGAGGTGTCAGGTTCGATTCCTGGGCAGGGAGAAATATTTGTATGGCCTACATTTATTTCTAATATGTGGTTGTCTTACGTGTGTGTCCAAGGCACCCCCGACACAGGGTTTCCTTAGTGCGGGGCTATGTTGAGTGTGTGCTTTATTATTATTATCATGTCTGTCTTCCATTAAGATAGGCACAGACCATGAACATTGTCTACTCACTATGCTCCTGATAACTCCTCTGCATCCTCCACTTATATTGGTCTCTATACATGTCTTATTTATTCTTGGTACTTTTACCCTGATATTTTTTAACAACATCCTCAATCTAATTGAGATATGTATGCCATGGTCTACCTCTCAGCACATTACATTTTCTTCCATATTCATTGTTTTGCATTCTGCCTTTAAAGCAAAGCTCTCATTTTTACAGCATTCCCCCTTTTCATTCAGCATTCACATGCTTTGCTTCTGACCAGCTTAATGCAAATTTTGTGCAAGTGTGGTGACTTTTGTACTGAACACTCGCTATCGTACATCAGAGTAAATAAAAATTATAGGTAATAAAATTCAGAACAACATAAACAGACTCTATGTCAAAGGTATTTGTTCAAAATTTTTTAAATAGCATTGTTATAGGTTCAATACATTACATTATTTTAGAAGGTCAATAGTTTTAATATATTCTTTTACTTGTTACAGTGTCTTCAATACAAAACTGAGGTCCAGCAAGATGTCAGAAAAATAGACAAATTCATTTCTAATTTAATGAGGCACATGGCATCAAATGAAATCTAATTAAATAGTTATTTACATTTATTTTGTGATTATTTTATTCTTCTAAATTCCTTCTAAAATTTCTAAAGTTATTGCCTTTTCATAATGATATCTGTCCCTTGCAATAAAGGCATCTTTGGATAGTTTCCATTTGTATACATTGTAGTTTTAGGAGTTAACAGCTAATTGTCAAGCAAGTTGCTCTTGTTAATTAAGTATAGCCATCATACAAACAATATTGATTTCATGAAATAATATTGGTTCTTCAAAAATCGTGTTTACAGGGCTTTCAAAGGCTAGCAACGCATAGGCTAGGCCACAGATAACTAGACAAGTAGGCTAGGCAGCTTATCTGATGTTGCAAATGTCTACATTTCACATTAAAAAAAATAAAGTTATGTCGGATGACCCAACTTTCATCCGACATTTAGGACACTTCAGAATGTTTGTCTTTAAATGGTCAAGCCAGTGGGGTCTAATAGTATTAATAGAATACGCCAAAGAACCATTTCTGTAACACAATCTACCCTAGTATTAAATTGGAAATTTAAAATAGTAATAATTATGTATTTTTTCAGTAGTGCAACACCAGAGCAATAGTGTTTTTTCATTAAAATTATTGAGTGAATCGGTCGATTCCCGTTAATGTACTTGTTTATGGCTCTATTTATATTGCGGCGGAACGGAATGGATGCGAATTTTTATAAAGATATTGTACGTATATAGCATAACGAACTTTATGGTCAATTGTGTAACGTACAAACTAGATACGAACCAAAATCTTCCGCAGTATACGCGAGCATTCTCAAGCATGCGGGAGATTTAAATAAATTGATCATAACATATCGTACTTCGAAACAAAGACTAAGACGGATCTAAGGTTAAAACGAGTAGGTGCACACTAAACCTTATGTACGAAATAGTCTTCCTAATTTTTTTTTTCCATTCTCTAAGCACTAAATGAAAAAGTCGACTTTCGAGAAATGGTTATTAGAATCACTGAAAAACCGTGATTTTTGCTCATGGCGGTGTTGGTGTCGACGTGCGAAATATGCTTTAGAATCATCATTAATGTTTAAAGACATATGTTTAAATTTTATAGAGGTTGTGTGTTTCTTAATATCCAAAAATTAACACGTTGTTTAAAATGTAATCAATGGTTTTAGTTTGACAAAAATAAATCCGTTGAAAAAAATAATTAAGTGGACTACGACATTTTCACAAAAGAATATTACAGTAGGTATTTCTAAGTCTCAACGTTAATTTATGTTTATTTTTCTAGTCCTTTAAATTATATTTGAACTTGTAGAGAAAAATTTGTTAGGTCCACAATCCAAATTCGGCCGTTGTGGTGGATCATGTCCTAATTATTAAAACCTTATAGATGTAGAAAATGAAACTATATTTGTATTTTCAAATAAACCAACGTTTCGGCCCCTTTACAGGTCCCATGGTCACGGTAGACTGAGGTGGTACACCTTTTTACCTATAACCTTTTTTTTTGATGACGCACGTTTATGTGTATCTGTGATTATTTCGAATTTTTATTTAAAATTTTTACAGTGTTCCTTGTCACGACGACTTAAGAATCAATACATTGTTTTTCTTCATTACGAAAACTTAAATGAAATTATTATTGATAGACTATGGAATTTAGCAATTGGTTCCGAAGAAACGACTGCTGATTTTTGAAAAGTTAAGAAAGCATACGCAAAAATTTGCTTGAGTTTACAACCCAGTTGCTATCCACATGTAAGAAATACAGACTGCTGCAGATACGTGGAGAAACCTAAAGGCCGCCTATGAAAATTGTGGCATAAGACGTAGAGTTCTCTTAAAGAGAAAACTTTCGCAAATTAATGCGAAAACTATAATTCTATGGATCACTACTCAGGAAATATTATTTCCATTACTTAAGAACTAGCTGACATTGGCTGCAACGTCGATGACGAAGAATTCGAGTGAGAAAATTCGAAGGAGACGAGTCTTAAAGTAATAAAACTTAATGTAAAAGTAGGCACAGAATTAATAAACTTTACAAAATTTTCAAATATGTGCATACAAAGTAATTAATATAGTTTTCATAGCATAAACTCAAATGAATAAGGCAAACGTCAAGAAAATATTTGTCTTAAGAAATTTGTAAGAAAACTTCTGCTTATATTAGTATAAAGAGTATTTTACAATAATAATAAAAACCAAACAACAAATATTATCGGATCAAAAAGATTAGGTATTCACGAGTCATGTCATATGACATTTTTTTTATGACGCTTGTCACTTGAATAGTCAGTTTTAATTTCCATCCTCTAAGGTTGTAATTCAGGAAGAATGTCTATCAATGCTTATTTAAGAGCACATTCGGTTTGTTTCTATCATACATATATTAAGTTGAATTTATAACTTAAGCTGAACGTTCGGTGATATAATATATTAATTATTTAATAACACAGATTACTTTTTAATAGTTCTTAGTTTTCTAAAGTTAATGTTGATATAATCAAATGGCTTTGAATGTTTCATTACGTCGATTAGTGAAATAAAAAAAAAATGCTTGTAGTTATGTCTAAAGGGCTTTGATAATTGTTATATATTATATTCAAGAAAATGTTTTTAAAAATATTATGGTTTCATGAAACGGACGGAAATTCATTGGCCTAAAATACAAAGAAATATATGTAAATCAAAGATTAAATTGTAATCGATTGATTGGTCAAATCTTATTAATGAAGTACATCACTATAAACTTTCGACAGAATTGTCAAAAATTGGTTTTGGACATGTTATTTTACTGTCATGCATCGTGAAACATAAATAAAACACATTAGTTTTTCTATAAATCATGACTTAATACTTAGGCCTAAATCGCTAATATGAAATAATATATTTGAAAATACAGCTGCCACTTACATTTGTTTAATTAAATGACATTATGGATGGTTTAATTCACGCGGCACTGGAAGCAGAGGTATTTCGTTACTTTCATTACTTAATCCATATCATTTATATGTAGTTCTGCTTGGAAAGTCTATATTTATTGATTGTGTATGTTTTTTATTGCAGGTTATACTAAACCGGGCCAAAAATGTGAATTCAAGTTTATCACAATTTGACAGTGGTGTTCCAGACCACAAAATGACTTGGACCCATGATAAAATGCATCTAGCAGAGTCAGTTGATGAGTCGAGGATGAAGTTTCAGCGAAACTCGTCGTCTTCGAAGAGTAGAGAGAAATTTGATTTATTTAAAAAGTTGCATGAATTGTATAATGAACTGAGTAGGGATGAAGCATCACAGGTCAATTATGTGAGTATTATTTATTATAAATAACATAAAAAATACCCATGTAATGATATACATTCATGTTACACCTTTTGTATAATTAAACTAACTATATTGGACTTATTCGTCCTGTCACTTGATATAATAAAAATATATTGTCAAATTCCAGCCATAAACAATGGGTAATATTATCTTTTTTTGTCTTTGCAGCAAGGGCTTAAGACAACCTCATATTTATTGGAAAAGTTGCTAGCTACGTACAACCTGAATACGTTAATAATAAATCTTTATCCAGGTAATAAGGGATACTCTCTCTCGCTGAAAGTCAACGGTAACACACAGTACATAAACCCACCAGATGCTAATGTGAGTGTAATTCAGTTACATTTGAAACTAGGGAACCAGGTTTGTTATAAATAAATTTGCTATATTGCACTGACCTTTAAGTGAAGTGGTTAGCGAGCTGAATCCATAAGGAAGTTTTTGAATCATTAGATTAAACTGGAACATCTGTATATAATATGTAGTGTAACACTTAATTGCTGTTATATTGAGATCACAAACAGTCATGCTCAGCAGGGCCTGTGGTAAATAATCAAGTGTTTGGAGCTATTAAAAATATAAATTATACAGGATTATATAATAGAAAACATGATATCCTACTTATAGTCAGATACTTGGAAAGTGTTGCCATGTTAATTGTATAGTGAAGTGTTTGGTTCACTTCTCCATGAACTCACTGATAAAGAATAAGTCCAAGTGAATCATTAAAGATTTTTTATCATTAATCTGCTAAATGCTATTTTTATCATTTTTCTGGTTTAAATTTTTTTGTTATTAACTCCTACAAATGATAAAAATATATAATGTACCTTTATGACATAGTGAGTAAGCCAGTGAAGTTGATTCCCAAAAACAACACCAATTTTTGAAAAATTAGCAACCCACTAAAATTCAGTTTATTTTGTTTCTAAACAAAATAATAAGGTGCCAGACAACCACACCAATAATGGTCTCAAACTAGGGAATTCTCTGTACCAAAGCAATGGAATTAACTCGGGGCCAGTAACTAGAACACCAAAACCAGAATTAAAATTGATCCTACTGGGAATTGAAGTCAGGACCTCCTCATCCAGAGCCCACAGTGCGAACCATTAAGCCATTGAGGTTGTGATGATGCCACCTCCTTCCATCGTCATTCCGCCTTATAACTTTTATAACTTTTTCTCTGGTGGTCATTTGTTTTCAAAAGTGGCCAGGAACCAGAGAAAAGGTGATAAAAAGGCAGGATGACGATGGAACGAGGCTGCATCGTCGCAAGGTTGTCATTAAGTTAAGAATTAGTTTACAGGCAGTGTTTATGAACTATTGGCTACTAGTTGCAATTCCCTAGGAATAGATTAATAAAGTTGTGTTACGGAAATTAAAAATGATTTCGGAGAAAAATGTTACAGGATTTGTTATAGCACAATTCTTACATGCTATGCATAAACAGCCTAACTAAAAGTGGGAAATTGTTTCTCTACCAAAATAAACTGGGTATAATAAATACACTGGGTACATATCTGTTAATTACTTGAAAAACAGATTGTATGTATTGTCATAATTTGTACTTGTAATCTTTCAATCCATGTACTATAAAACTATGATGAAATGATCCTTACAATTTATACAATTCGGAGTGGAAAACTGCCTAACTTGTCTTCTTCTTTTTCTGAGAAAAACTTTGTAATTTAAATTTGAGCAAAACTTCTATTTTTTGTTGAATTGATTGATTAAACACCACTAATTCTTAAGGGCTATTCTTCTGAACAGAATGAGCAAGGTGCTCTTTCTGAATAGATTTATTCACATTGATCATTTAAGGTGATTAAAAAATTTTGTTTTTGAAACTTCATACCATAACAAAATTGCCAACATAATATGATAATAATAAGTGGGCAAGTAGCAATTATTATAAATCCTTCTCAGCTTAAGGTATCAGCGAAGGCGCGCTTAACAGAAGTCTCGTGTTGCAACTGTGAATTATGATTTTATTTATAAAATAATTTATTATGCTTAATGTTGCAGCAATATTAAATTTCCTTTATGAGGCAAAGTTATTCGCAGTAAATGACTTTTTTATTTTGTTGTTTGTTATGTTACAATAAACGGACACAAACATTGAGTCCACTTTGGTAAATCTGAATAATTCTCACCAGACCTCATCAAGTCAAGAGGAAACCTTAATAGAGACTCCAAGATGGCCTTATGAAGAAGAAGAATTACTCAGCTACATTGACAATGAAGAGTTGCCTGTGGTACTACTGGACCTATTGGAGTCAGAGCACTCCTGTCTGTTCTACTCTGGTTGCATAATAGCACAAATTAGAGATTACCGACAGGCCTACCCTAGCTTCGTTTGCGATACCCATCATGTTTTGCTTAGGCCTACTAATCAGGTATGCTTTAGTGTTACTGTTTTGATAAAGACAATCGATCGGTAATCGATTAAATACCACTAATTCTTGATATGAGTATGTACATTATTTATTTATTATTATGTAATAGAATTTAAGTATAAGTGAAAACAAATTTAAAAAAAATCGATTTTATTTTTTATAGAGCATAATAACAGACGCCATGTGTATCGGTGGACGGTGTGGCTGGGCAGGCGAAGAACGCGGAGCTTTAGAAGCCGTTGAAGCGGCGCTAGTACATGCAGCTGCTCCACCATTGTGTCTAGACCCGCGTCCGGCAGTCGGCCTCTTGGCAGCAAGGTTACACGCTGTACCGAGACTGTTTAACACCCCACGTATTAGACGGCAGGCAAGGAGATTCTCACAGGTAAATGTGGTACTAAAATTTCTTTTTAAGCTAGACATTTGAAGCATTGGGTGTAACAAGGGTGTATCATGTAAAAGTGAGATTCGAGAAAATTTTAAATAAAGGTTTATTATATATATATATATATATAGTATATTATATTTATAATAATGACTCTTATATTCTTTATTATTTATGTGTCCTATGATTTACCTAAAAGATTCAGGTGTTATTATTATTTCAAAATAATTAGAAACATTTGAAAATATTTTTTTCCCTTGTGTTATCCGCTCTTGTTGTACCATTGTAAATTAATACCACTGGTAAATTAATGGGGCGTTCGTTTTATTATTGGTTTTTAAGAAAATAAATTCGAAGCCTTACTTTCTCAAACTCGTACCTTATAAAGAATGATTATTCAGGAGATGGCGAAAATTTCTATTTATTTTAAATTTCTTATCAAGGGTGGTAATTTGGATGCATTACTTTGAGAATAGGTAAAAGCTAGTGTGTAAATATGAAGGAAATGTGATGTGAAATCAACCTGTAAAATTTGTATATACAATCCATTTTTTGCATTTCAGTAACTTTGTTCTTTAAGATACGAGTTTGAGAAAGTAAGGCGACGAATTGTGAATCAGTCTTATTTAAAAGTTACATTGAAAAAAAAATTAACGTATTTTTAATCATTCATTACATTCGCTGGATTGAAATGAATCGACAGTACCATCTTCAGCAGGTCTCTTCAATAGCCTTCTAGATGCTCCTTGTGGAGGATGAAGTCGCTCGTTTCAGACTTTTTAACATTAAAGTAAGTAAAGTAACTGCAGGTGGTAACGGGTTCGAAATTCAATCGCACATTTATAATCGATGCCACAAGGGCGACGCGCGAGCGCCACCTTCTAAATGAATGAAAATTACGCAATCGAGGTCGAAATGAGTTTTTGTCACAAGATACAAGATAGTGTTTTACGTGTTTTGATGCAATAACCAATAACATCAAAACGGGCTTTGGATGCCGAACATCCATGTTGTTCCCAATGAGTCAATTACAGTTATGCAATTGCCCTTCTGCATTGTTTTACCCTGCGCTTGGCAATCTCTTAGGATAAAAGTTACAGGCCGTGCTAATGTTGCATTTAACTTACTATTATATGTATTATTTATGTGACTACAGATAATTATAAAGATCTAAGAATACATATATTTTTTGTACTTATCACATTTCTGCTAATATTGCATCTACCATCAACATACGAATATATATGTTGTACCTTTACATATTCGATAAATAACCACTGTCAACACAAGTATGATTGTTCATTTTGTGTACAATATTTTGTTTAATTGCAGGTTGCTGTAAATAGAAAAAGGAAGCTAGATCAATTCACGCATTATCACGGATTGGAGTTGTTAGAATTAATACACCGGCAAAGGGCTAAGAATAGTCGCCAGTCAGTTCCTCATACGCGACTGACGTCTAAATATCCCAAAAAGCCACCAGAGGTGAGTAAAATGCTTTTGCATTATATGTTTTCATTTTATTGGTCATAAATACGGTCTTTTTTTTTTATTTATTTATTTTTTTTAAACGGTCTTGTTTATAAAACAATATTTTGTACATGGAGAATTACACACAGTAATTTATTGAGGAAATATATATAAAAATAATTAAGTAGACACTTCAGAAGGACACACTTTTTTATTATTAATAGGCTAATGAAAAATACAATGGATATTCTTAATTAAAAACGTGTTTTATTCTTTAAAAGTTATTTTCTACATTTATGTTTTGTTTTTAATATATTACTTCTTTTAGAAAAACTATGATCTAGTGGCAATATTGTTTCCTTTTTTAAAGACTTCGGCTCTATTTACATAATATAATAAGACCAGTATGGTAACTCCATACAAAAGTTTGAGCAGCACGGCTTGTGTGTGTGCATGCCCGCAGCGCGCCGTGCACGATCGCACACATTCGCATAATAATAACAGGCGCGTGTGACGACGTCTTACGCGCCTGTCATTAATAATAATAATGTGCACCGTGCACACACACACATGCCGCGCTTCTACGTTTATATGGAGTCAACATACTTGTCTTACTATAATGATAACATTGTTGATGTCCAATTGATAAAAAACAGTCAATATTTTCCACACATTTGAAAATCTTTTGAAGACTTCTTTAATGACATTGATAACACAAATCATGTTGTCAGATGTACGAAGACAATGTTATTATAGAGTGTTATTTAATTGATGTTGGTTATTATATAGTGACAGCAGGCACATAGAGAAATTTCTAAAATCTGCTGACTCAGTCTGTTGCTCAGTTGGCAAGAGTGGTAGCCACGGTGAGGCAACAGACACTGGTTCGGGTCCAGTCCGATCGAAGGAGTTTTTCTTTGTGTTTGATCGGTCTTTGTTTCAATAACAATAACAAACTAGTGTAGTATTTTCCCAAAAAATAATTATCTATTATGGTAGTAACAACATCATGGTATTTAATAAAAGATATTATATTGTTATTTGATTGACTCATGTGAAATACAATTACTTTTTTACTCCAATATTGGTTATCGACATCAAATTTCGTGATGTTAGTAAGAGAAAAAGAAAGCAACATGACTTGTAAGTCTTTATATTTAATAATTATATTAGCTGTTAAAATCCGCAGCTGCCTGATGGTTTGACCTACTGCCACTCAAAGCAAAGACCATGAGTTCGAATCCGGTTGTCGAAAAATTGTTGAAATTTACCATGAGTTTTTCGGTTAAGGAAAACATCGCGATGAAATTTGCACGTCTAGGAAGGTTCACAACCATCGAAAAAACGTGTGTAGTCCCCAAACCAAAACCCTCGCCTGAGACGAGACCGATGCCCAGCAGTAAGTCATATAAACGGGTTGTTGATGATGATGATTTCTTGTTCAGGTGTTCAAGCCAATAGAGCCCCCCAAAATGGAGCCATTACCGTTAGCCCTACCTTCTGAACCAAGTGGACCTCTCCGATTGGCACGGGCGTACGAACGCCCAAGACCTACCCCTGATTGCCAACCGCAGTTAGTCGAAGAATACATCCTCGAAACCGAGAAGACATCTCCTCATGCAGGCGCCGGCTTCTTCCACATAAAACTGTCGATATTACAACGGCCATCCGATCAAGAGTTCTTAGGGGAGCTTTACGTGGATAGAGATCATGTTGAAGGCGAAAGGAATGGTGCTGCTTGTCGGTTTACTTTAGGTATATTTTTTGTTCTAACTAGTTTTAATTTTAGTAGCTAGTGCATTTTAGTAGAAGGACTACAAAGAGCATATAAGAAAAGCTTAAAAATAAATAAAAATTTTGTAGGAAAAGTGATTATCAATGGTTGGAGATATACGTAAGTAAACAGGAAGTATATAGCGTACATTATTTACTTAATAATTATTATTTTTCAGCACAAGCCAATTTTAAATAAATTTCTTAGTGTCACTAGCAACACATCCACTTATGTAGTTTGTTATTTTTGTAACGCTTTAGCTGCAATATGTTTCTATGGATATTTGATTTTGAATAACAATAAAAGTGTACTACACTATTCTCGCTCACGTTAGTTTTAAGCTGTCTATGTACAGTTTTTGTTCTTGTATGTGAGCAATAAAGTGTATATCTATCTAGTAATAATGTATCTTGTATGTATTCTGTGCATAGAATACATGTATTGTATGGTTTGATAAGCTGTGGTAGTGTTAACGGTTTGACCTACCGTATCTCAAGGACAGGGCGTAGGTTCGAACCTGGGTTTACACCTGAGTTTTTAGAATTTATTTGTAAAATTGAAATTTATAATGACCATTTCGGTGAAAAAAAAAACACCGTGAGGAAACCTGCATGCATCTGCAAAGCAATTTAATGATGATTTTAGTAGCAGTAGAGTTCTTTGTGAAATAGTTCTAGGGAAGAACTGCCACCTTACCTATTTCTACCGCCAAGCAGTGATGTGAGCAATACTGCGTTCCGGTTTCGAAGGGTGAGGGTTGGTAAAATTACAGGCATCTGGGGACATGTCAACTAATCCCCTGGTGTGCACATCAGATCTTTGCGAGTTAAAGTTCTGAGTGGCACTGCATTTGTTATGGACAGGCGCGTAGCTTACCACCAGGCACACGACTTGTTCGTTCGGTCACTTGATGTTATATTAAAAAAATGTATGTGAAGTTCCCAATCGGTATTTGTCCCGCGTGGCAAGTACAGCCCTAGCCCTACTAGTGTGAGAGGAGGCCTTTGCCCAGCAGTGCGATTATATCTTATAGGCTATATGCGTGAGGCGCACTATAAGTTCCGGAATGAATAAGAAAAAAATACTATAAATGGTCAGAAATGAATTTATTGTTTCTCAAAATGTTCTCCGTTGGCGTTAATGCATTTTTTCATACGAATGAACCAATTTTGAGAACATTTATACCACTCCTCCGTGACAATCTCTGAAACGTATTTTTCGTACTCTTCGACCGCCTCTTTAGGTGATGAAAATCATTGACCGCGTAACTGGTTCTTAATTTTTGGAAATAAATAAAAGTCACAAGGTGCCAGTACGGGACTGTACGCGGGATGGCTCATAAGATCAACGTTGTTCACCTTCAAAAATTCATTTGTCTGTCTGTGTTGACTGGAAATCATATCGTAATAAGAAACCTGTAATTAGTGATAATCATTTATATATTTTATTATTACGGTTTGATATACTTTAATAATCTTTTACATTCCAGGATCAAGACTGCAAGCTAACAAATACATACAACAGTTTACGGAAATATTCACGGAAGAAGGTCGAAAATCGGTCCGGATAAAGCATATCGTTCCGGGACAGCTGCCTAGGGTCTCATTCACTGGTGGAATGAGGGAAATGGTAAGTTTACTTTTTGTGTACTTCGCTACGCTCCGCTACTTTTAACAACGCTACGAATACTGCGCTCAAAATTTTTATTGATTTATGAAATTATAGCATTAGCCCGTGGTGTAATAAGGCCACATCTGCAACATGATAACTTTTCAGGACACAGGTTTAAAGATCCGCCGAGCGAAATTAATCGATAACCTTTTCACATGTACATAATTTGTGTCATGTAGTTCGTGTTACTCTATATGATTTTCATTTGATAACACCACTTTTGACATATGATCACATTGTAATAAAAATG